TCCCTTAAATAATCCTGTACTTCATGTCTTTGCTTTCATTTTATTTTGCTGCTCAAACTGATGTCAATTCCATGGTATCGTAAAAATATTGTAGGGTATAAACAAGCGCATTTTGCGTTTTATTCTCGCACAAAGTGCAATCAACACTGCACACACTACCCGGCTTCCAGTTCTTCCGCCTTCCCCTACCCTCTGCTCTAGCTCTAGGCAGAGCACTCTTCTCATCTCTCTTCTAACCTCTCTATTCCCGTCTCCGCCTCCTCTCATTTCCTCATCTGTCCCTGTTCAGTCTTTGACTCTCTTGTTTTTCATATTTTGTCATATTATTCTTTATATTCTTTTTATATGCAAAAAGCAAACAGAAACTGCGCTTATTTTGCACCTCTCCCCCGTCCCCGCCTTGCCCACATGTGCGCCGGCAGAACCCATTAGAGGCGAGCTTTAAGCATGTTAGAGCTGGCGAGCCGGGAGAAGGGGACGCGTAAGGGCGCAGCAAGTGGCAGGCGGCGCATCGCTTTCAAGCTGCCAAGTGCCAGCTATGGGCATGGCTATAGTTATGACTACAACTATGAATATGGCTCTGGCTCTGGCTCTGGCTCTTGGCTGTTGACTGTTGGCTGCGACTGCATTTCGCCTCATTTCGATTCATTTGCGCTCTCCGAGCTCACATCTCGCTGGCTGTGTTCTAAGCGCTGCCTCGCCGTCTCGCCGCATCTCCTCTTCGCCGCTTCGCTGCCTCGCTCCTGTCGCTTTTGTGCTCTGTAGTTTTGTTAGTGTGTGTGCTCGTGTGTGTGTGTGTGTGTGCTTTCCATGTCTTCTTTAGCTCCTCCATTTCCAGTTCTGTGCCTCTGTCGCTGCTGCTGCCTCTGCCGCTGCCTGTCTCTGTTCTCTGTTGGTTTTCGCACATTTCGCCCATTGTGTATATTTGGCAAGTTGTGCGCACTCAGCCTCTGTCAACGAGTCCGACTCGCTGCTGTGTACCCTGCGCCCGGCCGAGTCCGAGTCCGCAGTCCGAGCAGCTGCCGCTGCCGCTGCTGCTGAGTGGAGTGCTCTCTGCCGTTTGCTGTGCGCCTGTTCTGAAACGACTCAAACTGAGAGAGAGATAAAAGCATCTTGTGCTAGATGATGCTTCTGTGTTGATAAGACCCAGGCCCCGCCGCAGCTCGGTCTCTGTCTCGTATGTGCGTGTGCGTGTGCCTGTGTATGTGTGTGTGTGTGTGTGTGTGTGTGTGTGTGTGTGCATATCTGTGACTTTTGCGTGAAAATTGAGCACAATTTCTAGATGCACACAAAAGCATTGCATGAGTACAAATACAACTGCTATTTTAAAGCTCTCACACACACGCACACACTTACACTCGAACCGACGCCTGAGGTTAAGTTGGACTTCAGTTCTCTGCTCTGTTTGATTTGAGTGAGTTATGAAGTTGCAATCGCGTTGCGTGGGCGTCTCAGACTTGGCTCCAGTTGTCAGTTTGCGCTCTTTAAGCGGCGATTTATTGTTGTACTTACCTGTGGCAGAGAGACTGCAGCTCTTCCAAAACTGGGCGACACATTGTGCTGCTATCGGTGAAGAGTTTCTATTATTGGGGCGTGGAAAAATGCGTTTACCGTTAGCTTTATGGCCACGGCCATAAAAAACCCAAATGCGATATAGACGGCAGCTTTGAAATGCTTTTCATATATATCTAGCTGTAAATGCAACTGCCACACACGAGCCCAATAGATGCACGCAGACGGCCAACAGATACAAATGCGTGGATACAGCTCAAATGTAAATGCATTCTTGTGCACTCATCAGTCGTTCAATCTCATTATGAGCTCCATCATTACGATCTCAATGATTATGATATAGATGATATGGATGATATTGTTGTTGTTGCTGTTGTTCCCCTTAATGCAGGTCAATGCTGCCGTTGGTTGCCCATTTAATACACTCAGCAAAATACCCATCGAATTGAATTGAATTGAATTAAGTTTTGTCTATTTACAATTATTATATTTTTATTTATTTTTATAGTTATATAATTACTTGTGTATAGTAAAGAGGGTATTACCCGTATTTGCCTAGGCCAGGCTTTTTCCATTAAATAGAAAGCTATTCGGAAATAATTGAAAATTCGATCGGATAGGGAAAATAAGAACTCCTAAGTTGACTTTTGATCCCCAATGTTCTAGCTAGAATAGTAAGCTTCTGTAAAACATGTGTTAATTGAATTTTTGCGAAGATTTTTAAAGATGAGTATGAGACTGATTAAGTGAAAGCAAGAACCTTGTGCATACACGCGCTTTCCACTTACTTTCCACAGCTTAGGGTGGAATTATGTATCAGATCTTATATCAACTAAGTACATTTAAAATGTCAGCTTTAAGTTCAGTTAGTCAGGCACAATAGTTTTAAAAAAAAGTTCTTTAGAAATTCTTGCCAAAAATATTCGCTTAATTGCAAATTCTTACAGTGTACTGCAGTTTAGCTGTCCTTTGACATATGCCAATTGATTGGGCAATTTGCATGCACCGATTACAGATTTAGATGCTGTGGCACTTTCACTTGGCCAGCAACTTGCAACTGCAACTGCAACTGAAGCTTCATGCAGGCAGGCCATATTTGCTCTAGTCATAAATTATGCCTAATTATGCGGCATCTTGGCCAAGATTGGCCAGCTCCTGAGCGCAGAGAGCACTATGCAATTTGTCCACACGGCCTACCCATGTGGGTTTTGGGGCAGCAGCTTATGGCCCAAAGCGGGCAGATCTTAGCTGTGGCTGCAGTCGCAGTTGCCGCAGTTGCAGTTGCAGTTGCTGCGGCTGCTGTGTGTGGCAGGCGGGGGCGCCAGGGTGAGCATTACGAAATTTTTGCAACTAAATTTGTGTCTACTTTCATTTTTTGTTTGTTTTTTTGTTATTTTTTTCTGCTGTGGACCATGGCTTATAATTGTTACCTAGGCTCGGCTGCATTTAATGGCCGCATCTCGAAATTAGCCGCAACTTTCAACTGCGGCAAAAGAAAGTTGATTTTTTTGGGCCAACAAAATGGCCAAAACTTGCAGTTGTTGCCGTTGTTGTTGTTGATGTTGTTGTTGTTGCTGGGCATTTCAAGGTCATTTGGCAGGGCAAACAATAGTAAATTGTAAATTGCCGTCGCAGTCGTCCCAGTCGTCCCACTTGTCTGGCATTCCATGAATTTTTGTTCACTTTGTGTTCAACTTAATTAAAAGGCAAACAAAACGCAACCTCACACACAAGAACTGATAAAAAATGCTTTTATCAGCAGAACGAACAAAAAATAAAAATACAAAAAAACAGAAATATACAAAATAAAGCAACTAAGAGCGCTCTAGTCGGGAGTGCACGACTAGCTAATACCCTGTACCTAGAACGAAGTTGCCGATACAGGCATTCCAGCTTTCTAATACGATTGTGCTTCTTTTTCTGTTCGCTTCATGCTATACGAATTTAATTCTTGAGTAACTTCGGTGTTTATTGTCCGATCTTTACGAAAATTTCGGAGAATTTATATGTGTATAAACACCAAAGCCTAAGACTACACCTCTCTCTTGGTAGGAAACAGAAGAAACAGAAGAAGAAAAGCTAAAAAGTATTCTAGATCTGTATATACTTTACAATACTATGTTTACCAGGTTTGTTGTCCATAAGTTCCTTAGTTATAGTCAAATAAAATATCGATATTTATCGATTTCTGGGAAACGGGACAAATTATCGATGTTTGGTAGCAAACTAGATCTGGATGAGCACATTCCAAGTTTTACATCTCTAGCTTTTATCTCTAGATGAACTCGGCAAGAAGTCTGCTGAGCAAGGATGTAAATGTACTTTGTGATATCAAAGATGTCTCCTTTCACCTTTTTCATTATACCCTTTTACATATTTCCAAGGGTATAAAAACACTGTCGAGGCACTAACCACGATAATTATACAAAACATGTGGCTCGTTTTTGTGTTGTATTGTGTGCCTGGCCACAAGACTTGGGAGCGAAACCCCAAAGTTACCTACGAATACAATTGATAAGCATTTAGAATAGATACACGAATATACGACTAGCTAGTGATTGCTGGCAAGAGGAAGCATCACACACACGCGCACACACTCGTGCGTGCGAGTGTACATATTTAATTTCCAAGCAAAAGTTTTAGATACATTTCAATGAAATTAACAACTGCTCGCAGTTTCTGGAAGTTCAGATAAAATTCAAGAATTTTTTAGGGCTCGAGAGAAATACGCAGCGTTTGCCATTTAATTTAAATTCTTATCAGATTAAACGCAGATAAAAACCAAAATTGATAACCTTTTAAATAATAATGTGAACGATCTTTATGTTTATATTCCTGTCAGGCCCAAAGGCTTATCAATTTCCAGCGTTTATCTCTGTCTCGACGCGCTTGCGAAAGCCTGGCAAACAAATATAAATGTTGGCAATCATTTGCCTAATTATAATTCATTTTATGATCACGAATATTTGCTTTCATTTAATGGCGTGCCATAAAAAACAATGCACTAACCCTCAAGAATGAATAGACGCTGGGCTGAGAATGCCCGGTTTAAGTATGGAAGCGCATGCTCAACTACTGCATAAACCAAAGCCCTTCTATTAACCCCTTGAGGTTGACTTAAGATACAGATTGATACTCGATTAATGTAGAGAACTGTTGTTCCGACTGATTGACTAATTGAAGATCAATGTTCTGCTCTAAATACGTGTTTAATCGAACGCTAAGCTCGGAACGTTTATGTTAAACTTTTGCTTTGCATCTGCTTCAATTTTGAAGTCATTTTTGATAAGACAGAGATAAGACAGGGAATTTATTGAACCCTTCCCTGAGTGAACAAAGACTATTTGTGAAAAAGTATTCAAAACTGAACATTATAAAAAAAGCAAGCACGCTTCATATATTTTAATAGCATTTTTAAAGATTGCCTTTCTATGCGATTCTCATGGATATAACTTATATGAACTCTTTTGCATTCTTTCTTCTTAAAGGACTTTCCCCTACATTTCATTGATGTCAATAATATAATTGTGCATGCTTGTGTAAAGTTTGGGGTGAGTACAGATTTATATATATATATATATTTGTTTATAACTAAACACATATGTACAAGCAGTTCAGTTTAGACTATCTATTAATAGTTCACAATTTGTATGGAGACTTGTGCCGTTTTATCAAAGTTATTTGAAAAACATTTTTCAACTCTAAAAGTGTTTCAGTTCTCTTGAGAGCTAAGCAGAACTTTAATGGGTTAACAGTTGGGGCAACTGGGCCTTATCGATGCTGCCCACATACAGATGCATCCATCGCATCGCTTCTGTCACCATCACATCGAATGCCTCTGGGCAGGGCAGGGCAGGGCACCGGCTCCGAATGTGACTCCGTCTCTGGTTCTGGTTCTGAATGTGGCTCTGACTGGCTGACGTCGTGTCTGTCCGTGTGTCTCCGTGCCTCATCATCAATGTCCAATCGACGTGTGTGGCCCGGGGAACGGGAACGGGTACAGGGACGACTTGTGGCACTTGGGCCGAGAGCGGAGCATGTGGTAGGCCTGACAACGACAACGACAACGCCGACGACGACGACGACGACGGCGCCGTCGATGGAATGTTGTTAGTTATAAAATGGCCACAAAATCATAACGCGGGCGTGGGCTCAACTGACTGCCACTGAGCACTTTCCTGGACCCAAAACCGAACCTGATATTGACGATGACGAGTTACGAGCCGTGAGCTGTGAGCTCTGAGCTCTGAGTGCCCCATGCCGCCGTCTCTCGTCTGGGTCAGCCGGTGGTGGCCCATGTTGCCATCAAAAGGTTGGTCCAGAGTGTGAATTAAAATGTTTTTTTTGTTGTTGTTTTCGTTCTCTTTGGCTGTTTTTACATGTGTTCTGTGTGTTCCGATTGGGAATCTACAACTGGCAACTGGCAACTAGCAATAACTAACTGGCGAGCGGGCTAAAAATCGAAATCAAAACTCGTCGCAGTTGTTTTATGAGTTTTAGAAATTCTTTTTCACAGCACACACACACACACACAGACTGACGCACATATTTCTTTTTTCCACATGCATTCGCCGGAGTCGCCCACAAAAAAAAACTTGTTTTGTTTTTCTCGTTTCTGTTTGCCATTCTTGTTATTATTATTAGTTTTCTATTTCAATGGCGGCGACGTCGGCGGCGTCGGTGGCTAGCTTTGAATAATGATGATAAGCAGAGCTCCAACCATCCATCCAGCCATCTATCCAACCAGTCAACCATCCAGTCTGAGCCAAACCAAACGAGCACAAATATATCTGAATACAAACGTATTTATTTAAACTCGCATTCATCCATCTGGCTGTCGTTCTCTTTTTGATTATTGACTTATTGTGGCATTTATTTTGTGTGTATATCTTTTATTTCTTCGAGGTGGTTTTTTTTTTGCTCGAAATCGTCGCCAGGTACACGAGAAATCGTCACGGTCAGCAAAAGATACTCTGGGTGCCCGAAGTATCTCAGCCTATGCAGATACATTTGAAGCGCACGCTTGTCCGTTTTGATGTTGTTGTCATCAATTTAACAGCAACAACAGCAGCAACAAAAATGTGAGAAACAAGAACAAAACCAGACATTCTTCGAGACTCGGTCGTTGTTCGTTCTCATAATTTGTTTGCCTCGTTTGGCCCCGTCGCTGCCCCTTTTCCCAGCTCCGAAGCCCGTTCCCAATTCTTTTCTTTCTCGCGCCATCGTCGCCGACTGTGAGAAAGATTTTATTTCGTTCAAGTGGTTTTTGATTTAACACCAAACAACAGCAACAGCAACAACAACAACAACGGCAATGGAAAATATTTTAATGATGCGTCGTCAATGCAATTCGGAAAAATGAAAAAGAGATTTCCAACTTGTTTGGTGGCCACGCTCTTTGCTTTCCACTTTATCTCGTGCTGTGGTTGGGTTTTCATAGGGAAAGCCGATAGTCAGTCCGTTGCAGCAACGACAACTGCCGCAGAACCCACCCTAAGGCATGTGCATCTACAGAAAAGGGGTAGCTCGCCAAGAGAGAGAGAGAGAGAGAGAGAGAGAGAGTGAGAGGGAGAGTGGGCAGACGATCGACAGACCGAGAAACCACTCGACAAGCTGCCAATGCGCTTCGATGCGGTAACATCTGTCACGGCTGCTTCCTGGACACTACACCACACAGCAACCACATTTCAAGCAGCTTATTGGTATTTAAAGGAGCTTGCGTCGGGCATAAACGCATTGCGATACAGTTTGCAACGGTTAAATTAGCTATCGCTAAATACAGGGTGCTTTAAGTGGGCCAAGCATATTTGCTATGCCTGGAAACAAGCCTTCCGCACCCGGATTTCCAATTTAGTACATACCATGAACCCAACCTTAAAGAGGATTAGTTGAACTGAGAACAGGCGAACATGAGCCTGAATCGAAGCAAGGACCCTTGTTCAATTTTGGGTGGAATGTTGGGAGGTATCCAAAATGTGAAACCAACCTACCCAGTTTGGGAAATGTATCTCTTAGAATCCTCGAGCTATGTTTAAAAAAACATCTATAAAAATTGATATTTATCGATATTCTAAAAAGGATCAAACAAAAGAGATAACTACTTATCTCAAGTGAACCGGAACCTTTGGCTCGCAGTCGGGTTAACCATATCACATTAATTATGTGACAATTCAAATTTGAACTCCATTTAAATATGCCCAAGAGCATTTAAACTTCGTTGTGCGAAATTATGTATAATTTTTGCTTGCGTTTTGTCTTCGGTATTCCTTTCAAGTCCTGCGTATTATTTCATTATGAAAATATGCAATATATATTTGCCGCTTTTTGCTTTGAACTGTGCGTGTTGCCGCCACAAACGGAACCGCAGCTGATGTCAAGGACTACATGGCCGGCCGGCATGGACATGGACTTATTAATGTGACACTAATCATGTGACCTCGAGTGTTTGGCCGCCTGTTATGTGCGCTTGTGCGCGGCAATCGGAAAAGTTTTCCCTGCCACTCATGGAACAACGGCGAATGAGTCGAACCATTCATAAAAATGCCATTCTATTGCTTTCTTCTCTTTGTGGCACCTTTCTTTCAGACTGCTGTGTCTGTTGATTGGAAGCGCTTAGGAAAATCAACACACACAACAAATGAAAACTGGGAACTGAAAACTGGGTACCCACTGGGAAAGGCTGTGCCCAGACACAGATAAAGCGGGCCTAGGAAGCGGTTCTTGCGTAGGTAGCTTCGCCAACTGGGCCAAACAAAAGAAAACACACAAGTTACTCAAAAGAGAGAGTAGGCGAGAGAGGGAGAGGAAGAGTGATATACATTTTCACCTTTCGCAGTTGCAGTTGCTGCCCGCCTTTGAGAGCATGACGCGTGTCAGGGGCAACCAATTAGCAGAGAGGCTCTGCGGTATCTGTGCAGTCTTTTGTGTTGACGACATAGGGGTTGCTAATAGCTGCGCAGCAAGCATATACACTCAACGAAATCTTCAAACCTTAACATATCTATAGCCTAGCGAAATTCACTTTATGGATGGTTCTGATTGTTTCTTCTCAGCAAGGCTCCAAACCAATTTTGAAACGAGCCGCATTTAGCCTGGAATTGAACTTGTTTCGTCACCATGAAACGAACCTTCAATTGGATCAACCAAAAAACCAAGTTCATGAACTAGCAGCTTTATGTGAGCTGAACAGTGAACCAGTGTAAATGTTTGTCGCGCTGGGCTGGCAGGTATTTTAACAATGTATTAAATCGAGAGAAGATACACGAGCCAGATTCTTCACAAATAGAGAAAGCCAGGCCCTAACGTATGGCATGGGTTTGAACCGTGAACCGAACCAGTGTAAACGTTTGTCTTAGAGATATGTCGCCAAAACATCTGACAGTTTGCGGCTTGCAACGCCATGCAACATTTGTTGCAGTGTATTTAGATCCCTGTGCGTTGCCGTGTGGCTGACGCTGATGAGCCGCAAACTGCGCAGGAAGCTTCATCCAATTGACAAGCGGCATTTAAGGGATAATTTTCGGGGCATGTGTAGCGTTTGCCCCCCCAAAACAAAACAAAAAAGTGGAAAGGACAAACTGCGCAGGCGCAGAGGCAGTCGACACAGCGTGTAGGCTGCCAAAGTGCGCAGGACGTCGAAAAGGACGCGCTCCAACAGTTTTTTGTGCCAGTCACTGTAACATCTGCTTGTGCCTCATCATCATCATCATGAACATCATCATCATCATGATGATGAATATGGCCGCAGTCCTGTGCTGTCCCGACAGGACATGTGCGTTTTTAGTTATTGAAATTTTTACTTGTTTTGTCCTGCGCGCCGTGCTCTGTGCATTGAGTATTTAATTGCAGATAATATCGACAACAAACAGCAGGCAATTCAGTTCGACTGAAAGCCAGTCCCGACTTAAGGATCAAAGCAACAAAAAGGTACAAAAACACGGCTGAATCAACAGCTGAAGTTGCCGGAAATGCATCTGTGGCCAGGTCCCCGCTGCTGCTGCTGCTGCTGCTGCTCAGGACATTCGTCCTGCCTTCTGGGTTCTGTGGAGGCGCGCACGTGTCAATAATTGTTCAGATGTGGAGCTCGAGAATCAGCTGTCGTTTCGGACCCCTTTCCGAGACATAAGTGCAATTCAGAATGGGCATACAACTGTTATTTGTGTGGGTTTTAGGTGTAAGTCCATAGAAAATTTGACAGTTATTTACCATAATGATAATTGGGAGTTAAACATTAGTTGCTCCTTAATGAGTGCATAAATTACAGAATATTGAATTTGTTGATTCAAGTGAATGTAATACTAAATAGCCATAAAGTGCTGCACTAGAGGGTATTATATAAACTATAGCTGGAAGTCTCTTTAACAAATATATATCCTGATTCGGCTCACGACTGGAACTAATTTGTGTTCCGTTTGCGAATCTGGTTCGTAAACAGAAGTGGATTCGGTTTCTCGTGGAATCGAGTATGTCAGTTTATTATATTTATATATACTCAATACTTAAAGTTCCTTGAGGTAACTTTTACTTTTGAGTTGGGTAAATATTGCTCAAT